AGCAGCGTCTCTATTTCCTGAGGAAGCTAAGAAAAGGTCATTTCCCACCCACCATTCTTACCACCTCTACAGAGGCACTATAGAGAGCATCCTGAGCAGCTGCATTACTGCCTGGTTTAGGAATTGCACCACCTCCAACTGCAAGACCCTCCAGCGAATAGTGAGGACAGCTGACAAGATCATCGGGTTCTCCCTCCCCTCCATCACAAACATTTACACCACACGCTGCATCCGAAAAGCAACTAACATTGTGACTGACCCCACACACCCCTCACACAAACTGTTTTCTCTTCTGCCCTCTGGAACAAGGTATCGCAGCATTCGGGCCCTCACAGCCAGAGTGTGCAACAGTTTCTTTCCACAAGCCATCAGATTCCTCAACTCACATGGACCCACACACACACATACATAACACCCACACGGACCCACACATACATATAAATACGGAACTAACTCACTCCCCACTTCTTGCAGTTCCAAATTATGGAACACTGGAAAAATATATTACTGTATTTCACTAAAAAACTTCATTTGACGTGACTGTAGATCTGAATACTTGCATTTTTGCACATTTACACATTTTATTTCCACAACAATAACTAACTTTGCATTTTTGCACATTTTATACTTCACTTTAACAATGTTAGCTGCGAGAATTACTATATCAACCAAATACTGCATAATGTATATTGCTACTCTAGTTGCTACCTCAGTGACTGCTGTGCTCAAATATGCTAGGCTATCTGCTAAGCTGCACCTACTTTCAGAACCGTGTACTGCCTGTGTTCTGTTTTGTATTTATTGTAAGTCTTTCATATTTATTTATTGTACTATATTGTCTGTATTGTGTTTATTGTATTGTCTTGCACTTGTGTTCCTGTGTTGCACCATGGTCCTGTAGGAATGTTGTTTCATTTCACTGTGTACTTGTATATAGCTGAAATGACAATAAAGCCTGACTTGACTTGACTTGACAAAAAGCCTCAGACCCTCAGACCCTTCTTGCAGGTCAACATTTACTTTGACAGTGACATTTTCTTACCATTACAGGCCACTTACACTTGTGTTTTCTTTTTTCATGTAGCAGTCAGCACATCACTCACATTACTTTTTGGCCTGCTAGACCAACATGATCCCACAAAAGAATGTAAAATGCCAGGGTGTGCTGTCTCTCCTTGTGAAAATATTTCTTACCTATCATTAGGATGATGAAGAGGGCCAGGAGGAACCAGGCCCTGAACGAGTGGGAGAGAGGGAAAAAAACATTCTGGAACATGAAAATCTGCTACCAAAGGTTTTTTTTCTCTTAATGGAAAATGGCTTAGCTCCCAGAGATCTGCATTACACAGCTTTCTGAGCTTTATTATGTCTCTTCCAAAACAGAGACATAACGTTGGCTACATGTGAAAGTTTATTGAAAAAAAAAAACGATAAAAAGAGAGAGAAAAATAGTAATACTGTAAGAGGAATGGCTTCTGCTTTACTATATACAAGACTGTGCAGACATCAGAGACCACATTCATTTATTTAATGTCCAGTCATGGCAGCCATTAAAGCTACACTGTAAGATTTGGAGAGCTCACTGGTGGTGTAATTGCAACCAGTGTGTGGAAGAAGATTCTGCAAAAATTGTCGTCTCCTCCTGGTAGACCACCAAGCCTGTCACCTTCAGATAATCAGTACTTACAGCTGTCGTCTTTGAGAGAGAGGGGAAAATCAAGCTCCATTTTTGCTTCAGATCTGAAAAAATATTCACAGTTTTTTCTGTTCCTCCTTCCAATGCAAGTCTCATACACTGAAGAACAGGCTGCAGTGCTGAGAATGGTACCTGCTCTGTGAAGGTCCATGGGGGTCCTGACCACTGAAAAACAGGATAAAAGGGGGCTAACAAAGTATGCAGAGAAACAGATGAACTACAAAAATGGACAATGAGTGTAGAAACAAGGAGGTGGTCAAAATTGTTATGTATGTATGTATAAATATATATATATATATATATATATATATATATATACATATATATATATGTGTGTGTGTGTGTGTGTGTGTGTGTGTGTAGATAGATGTAGAAAACTGGATGCTTTTCTATACTGGGATTAAAGTTTTTTCTAAAGTCTGTTGGAGCCTGTCACCAATGAGACTGACCTTTCAAAAATTTTCACAGTCTGTCTAGTTCCTCTTTCAAGCCTTGAGAAATGCATAGTCACTGTCATAACAAAACTGCATATCTCTGGAATAGTAACTTTATAGGAGACAGAAAATACGTTCTAAATTTTAATGTAACAATATTGTATTCCATGTTATTTTGACCATTTGACCAGGGGTTTCCCAACCACTGACCCAACACACCTTAGGGGGGGGATGAGAGGGACATAGTTAGAAAAACAAATTAACCAAAAGCTCGACTAAACAGGTAAGTTTTTAGCCTAGACTTAAAGATGGAGGCTGTGTATGAGTCCCGAACACAGACTGGTAGGCTATTCCAAAGCTGGGGGGCTTTGTATGAAAAGGCTCTTCCCCCTGACGTAACTTTATTTATTCTGGGTACTAATAATGAGCTCGCACCTTGTGATCTAAGTGGGCGTGTCGGTTGATAATAGGAAATAAGGTCACTGAGGTACTGAGGAGCAAGGCCATTCAAAGCTTTCTATGTCAGTAGAAGAATTTTGTACTCAATGCGGAATTTAACTGGCTACCAGTGTAAGGTACACAAAATAGGGCTAATGTGGTCGAATTTCCTGGTTTTGCTGAGAACTCTGGCTGAAGCGTTCTGGACTAACTGAAGCTTGTTAAGGTTTTGGCTGGAACAACCAGAAAGCAGAGCGTTACAGTATTCTAACCTGGACGTGATGAAGGCGTGAACTGACGTTTCTGCATCCTGTAGCGACAGTGCATTTCTTAATTTAGCGATGCTACGCAGGTGGAGGAAAGCTATTCTGGTAATATTGGTAATATGCTCATCAAAGGCCAGACTGGGATCAATCGTGACACCAAGACTTTTTACAGATGTGCCTGTTGCAATTGAGAAACTATCGAGATTAAGAGTAAACGTAGGCAGATTATTCCTAGCAGCTTTTGGACCAAGAAGAAGGACTTCGGTTTTGTCCGAATTTAGTAAAAGGAAGTTGCTTGACATCCATTCTTTAATGTCTTTTACACAGTCCTCTATCTTATTAAGTTCAGTTTTGTCCTCTGGTTTAGCTGAAATATATAATTGTGTATCATCGGTATAGCAGTGGAAACTGATGCCATGTTTTCTAATGATGGTACCTAGTGGTAGCATATATAAGGTAAATAACATGGGTCCTAAGACAGAGCCCTGTGGAACACCATACTTTACTCTTGTGAGAGCTGATGGTTCACCATTTACATTAACAAACTCAAAGCGATCACTAAGGTAAGATTTGAACCACGAAAGAGCTTTACCTGTCACTCCTACTAGTTTCTCAAGCCTGTCTAATAGAATGGAATGGTCTATTGTGTCAAATGCTGCACTAAGATCGAGTAAAACCAGTAAGGATATGTTTCCTTTGTCAGCGGATAATAAAAGATCATTTACAATTTTCACTAACGCTGTTTCGGTACTATGGTGAGGCCTGAAGCCGGACTGAAATTTTTCATATATATTACTCCTATGCAGATGGGAACATAATTGTTTTGCCACGGCTTTCTCTAAGATTTTTGATAAAAAGGGAAGATTTGAAATAGGTCTATAGTTTGATAGCTCAGAGGGGTCAAGACTAGGTTTCTTTATTAAGGGTTTAATTACACCTAATTTAAGAGATTTTGGAACATACCCGAGGTTGAGAGAAGAGTTTATTATAGATAGAAAGGGCTTAGTTATTTCTGGCAAAACATCTTTAAGTAAACCTGTAGGAATAGGATCTAGTATACAAGTTGTTGTTTTTGTAGATGAAATAATTTGGACGAGCTCTGTTTGTTGGAGTAAAGTAAAAGACTCCAGCGTCTCTGTAGTGGTTATACTGCACTCTAGATCTAGATTAGGTTTATAGGACGCTGCACTGCAATGCTGCGCATTTTGAATTTTGTGCCTAAACAATTCAATTTTATTATTGAAGAAGTTCATGAAGTCAATGCTGCTGTAGGCTGATGGTATCTGGGCTTCAGTAGCTGCTTGATTATTAGTTAATTTAGAGATAGTACTGAATAGTAGCCTAGGATTATTCTTGTTATTTCCAATCAATGACGAGAGATAGGCTGAACGTGCTGACTTTAGTGCTTTTCTATAGTCATTACACTATACTTAGTTACTAACTTACTTCCAAATACAGTTATCAAAGGAAATACGAACTGAATTAGTTATATACTGTAAAAAATGTTTGTTCCCTCTGGGTTGAGGTGGTGGGGTCAGGGTAACTTTCTAGCAGGCCAAATCAAACATCCACTTTGGGCAGGCTGTTCTATTGCTTTCTTTAAAGAGGAATTTCAGTTTTTTTAAATGCATAATTAAACAGTTAAAATGTCAACAAAGACATTCTGAGTGGTTTACTGTGAAATTCTAGAGGAACTTAGTGAGGAACCACATGTCCAAACAGTCTCAAAAAGCAACCTCACAGGAAATTATTACATGGAGTGGTTACAAAAACACTACCACTATCAAGAAATTAGAGTCGGTAAGTTCATCTGCAATGCATCATCTCACATCAAACCAATCTAAATTAGTTAATTGCTTAAGAGTCGAATTATGCACACATTTTGAAAATTCTGTGGACTTCCCCTTTAAGTTGAGAACCACAGCTTGACTCGACCACTTAAAACTCATGAATCCTAAGTAAAATGCAGTGTTATTTAGCCCTCAGAACACATTAAACCATGGTCCACCCTCTGACTATGGGGGACCAGATTTGCCAAATTGAAAAATAAATAAAATTAAAAACCACCACACTGATACAAAAACACAGAAGCGCCGTAATATTCAGATTTGGGCACGTTTTTTCTCTTTTCCTGTAGCTGTGATGCTTCTCCGCACCAGCAGGCGGCGCTGCGCTGTTTCAAGTCTCCGCCTGTTCGTGTTCCACATCAAACAGAGATGCTTTGCTAGCTTGGGTAGTTTGATTGCCAAAATCTGAAAGACGAACGCAAATTAACTCACCTAAATCATCCATCATGGCAAGTAGCGCTTTATTACATTCTGAACGTGTTGTTATGCGTTAAACAGTCGAGAAAAATACAAAGCTGAATCAAATTTAGAAGCTGTTATTGTTGGGCGTTGTCATATGAAGGGTTTGTGTTGCTAAGCTAGCTTAAGTCTGTATACTGTTTAGTTCCTCTGATGCTCAGAGGTGTCGTTTTTTCAGAATTAGTAGCAGACACATTATTTACAGATTTTATATGTTCTCCCCAGCCCTGAACATTGTTTCCTTTGTCAAAGTTATGTAGAATTAAACTAATAACCATTTAACGCTAGCTTGACAGTTTAAGTGGTCAAACAGCTGGTAATCGTTAAAAAACACTGATTTTTTTTTTAGATTAATGTTTTAAAGTCCATTACTTCGGTTATAGCTTTATGTTCTTGCATTGTAAAGCTCTGTTTTTACCCTTACATGTTTTTATCCAGGCAAAAGTCTTTAACAAGATGTTTTTTTAGTTAAGTTCTGTATGTATGAATGAAGTTATACAGATACATTTATTGCTCTTTATTAGTATTGTTAGTGATGTATTAGTTCATGTAACTGTGGAGAAACACAATACGTTTAAAAGCTCTGATGGATGAGTTAGTCTCTGCATCCCAGACTGTTCTGGATAGTGAAGTGAACTAACTGATGTAGGGTTGAATTTTGTGTGTGTGTGTGTGTGTGTGTGTTTGTGTGTAGGCCGAGGTTGAGGAGACACTGAAGAGGATCCAGAGTCAGAAAGGAGTACAAGGAATTATTATTGCCAATGCAGAGGGTAACTGATACACTATATAATAATATACCTTTAAGGATTGGTTCATCTTTTAGTTATCACACATGAAAAATATAAACCCTGTTCACACTTCATTAACCACTGGTGTCAACTTGTAGAGACATAAACCTTCACAGCCTGCAAACTATATAAACTCACTGATACTTGTGTAGTACATTTCTAACATTAAACTCATTAGTGACAAAAGCAGTTTATACAGTTTAGATTTTTTTACTGTGGCACATTTCTGTGGTAATCTATTTACTTCATACACAATCAGATCAATTTATTTATATATATATATATATATATATATATATATATATATATATATATATATATATATATATATGTGTGTGTATATGTATAAACAAATAACACAGTCAAAACAATAGACTCAGAGAGAGCAGTGTCTCAGTATTCTGAGATGAACTGACAGAACCAAAACTTTAGACGCTTTAGAGTCATCTGCAAAGTGATATTGTGGGGCAAATGTATCTTTACTAATGCAACTTTAACATATTCAATCAGATCAAAGGACAGTTTGATTATTACAGCACAACACTTTCTTTTGTGCTGCTTCACATGAAGCGATATCTGTTTTGTCCATGTACAGCAAAAGAATTTCACATAAATGGAGCATCTGTCCCGCAACCCCACCGCCTGCAGTCTTAACAGTGATCAGATGACTTTTTAGGCTAGTAAGTCAAAAAAATTATTACAGTGGATTTCCTTTGTCCCAGCCTTATAGAACCATATACCTTTAAACAAAATCATATTTTATGTGAATTGTATGGGTTGACACCTGTCATTAATGTGTTCTGATCATAAGTGGGCAGCACTCAATACAGGTATGAAAGGCTCCAGGTGAGATCACTTAGACCACCTTCGGGTTTGGACAGGGAAGCATATGACTAAATAACCTTTATAATATGACAGCTAAAGCGTATTTTTGTGTCTTTGACAGCCAGGAAAGACCACCTAAGGTGAAAACAGCTGCATAGCTTCTTTTTTCGTGTTCTCTCCCATTTGAGTTACATTAGCACTGTCTGCACTCTAAGTGTTTGTAATAGCCCATACATTTACATGATCAAGGTCTTGAGTCTTTTTTTTTTTTCTTCATAACAAATGCTGCGGAAGACTGATGTAAAAATGAGTGAAGCCCTTCAAACACTCTGGAGATGCATTTAAGACACATATGCCTAGAAATAGTGCTAACTCAAGTAATATTTGTTTATTTGTTAGCTTTGTAGAGTTTATTTGTTAGCTGTCTAAAGTTTTTAGCATGCATGCTAGCAGAATGAGTTTCTTTTTTTTTTTGTATTTTCACTCTCAAGAAAAAAATTACTGCATTTTCCTGACTACATGTCTGTGCATGCACCCAACAGTGTGGTGTACCAATTCGACAGTATTACTAGTGTTAGCTACATGGTAAACATAGCTAGGAAGTGAGATGCGTAATAAAACAATTTGTCCACTTTTGGTGTGTACTTTAATAGATGCGTAGAATGAACAAGAAAAGACAAAACGTTCATTGCAGTTATTTATACAACAGATAACCTTCAGCTAAAATTTCTTGAATGTGACAGCCCTAGTCTTGCTGTCCACTTGTGGTCAGATTTTGTGGCCAATACTTACCACATCTGTTTTGTATTATTCTTGTTTTTTCTTGTTGTAGAAATCATTTAAAGAATTCATTTAGATTAGAGGAATCTTGAGGGTAAACTTCTTTTTGTATCATGTGATAAAGTTGAAACAAAGCCACCAGTGTTTTCCTGTCTGTGCTCTGAGCTTCTTAGCAAAATTGGCAGTGTTGGGGTGTAACTGAGTTACAAATAAGGCTTCTCTGTGTTCTCTGTCTCTCTCTTTCCCTCCTTTCCAACCCTCCCTCCCTCCCTCCCTAAGGCATCCCCATTAAAACCACTCTCGATAACTCAAGTACAGTGCAGTATGCTGGCCTCATCCACCAGCTGATGATGAAAGCTCGGAGTACAGTGAGAGAACTTGACCCCCAGAATGACCTCACCTTCCTCAGGGTCCGCTCGAAGAAGAACGAGATTATGATCGCTCCAGGTATTGAAAGGCTTGCACTGTGTATTAGTCATTATACATGTGTGTATCAATGTTAATGTGACATGCTTAGTGATTGGTTGATTCAGCCAGTGCTGGTCTGTTTTCCTTTCTTGTACACTGGAAACAGGAAAGTGGTTTCCAAACTTTGGCCGCTGCTACGATAAACTATATCAGTTTTCCCAGGCTTTTTAGAGTGTATTACAGGGTGTATTTTAATGTTCATCCTGCTCCTGACACAAGCCCTTCCAGATTTTAACGGTTTATCACACTTGAGTGATATTTTCTGGTCCCAGGGCTGTTTTCACTGAGAGTTTGCTACATTTGGTCGGTGTGAAAGCTGGGTGCGGTCCTGTAAGACTATCTCTAGATCACCTGAAAGCAGTGGGCTGGTGCTCACGAGTAGTGATGAGTCCAGATGCATTAGTAGATGTACTCAGAGATGTACTTATGCTGCTACTACTACTATTACTACTATCACGAATAATAATGATAATAATAGCAGCACTTTTTCTTTTGGTAATTTTGGGACAGCTCCTAGAAAATGATGACTTGAAGCTTAATCTTTGTTAAATAAAAGAACATAACAGCGCAGTTCAGTAAAAGTTGCATTATATTGTCAGCTGGTGATGAAGCTTGGATTATAGTGAGGGACCTTGACCCCCAGAATGATCTCATCTCGATTTGGACACCAAACATAATGAAAAATTAATCGCGTATTAAAGAACAACATTACAAATATTACACAAACTTTATCATCTAATGCTCTGGTGGCTGTAGCCACTGCTTAGCTTAACCGTTTGTATGAGATTTGAGACATGACTTATCCATCAAGTTGCATAAAAAGTACAGATTTGACCGCCTGTAATGACATACGAACTACTCTGCATCTGATTCATGAAACTTTAGTATGACGTGGAAACAAGCAGAGATTTGAGCACAAATGATGAATCTGCTTGAGTGTGTGAAATCAAGCGCCAGCCTACCAGTACCTCATTTACATATCATATACATGAAGTACACCAGAACCTTATTTACATATCATGTACATGAAGCACACCCTAATTCATTCAGATGTTTCAGAAAGGAGCCAATAAAACGACAGCATTCAGTGGCTCGTGAACCAATAGCTGTGCTCATAGGTGGAGTTTGAGGTGGAGCAGTGAGTGCACTTCTCCTGCTGACTAAACTTGATAGTGTTAAAAATTTAAATGGTTGAAAAGAATACAATGTGCAAGACGGTAGAATGATGTGATTTGTGTTGTGTGATAAAATAACATTTAAATAATAATAATAACAATAATAAACACAGTGGAATATGTGTCTTTAAATGGAACATGGAATGATTGCAGCATTTGTTTATACCAGTGTGCTTGTAAAATAAGAGCCTCCAGTTTGTACTGGACTGCCATTTGCACGAATGTTTAGTATGATTGTTTTCCTGTTTTTATTCTTGTTATTGGTATCATAGATGATATTGATAATAATTTTGGTTTTACTGCAAATTAAGCTTTTTTCCCTGGGTGTGGAGTAGTGTTCATACAAAGCAAGAAAAAAGTCTAAAAAGGGTGTGCAAGGTTATAGTTGCAAGGTTTCTCAAGGACCAGGATTCAAATCGCTTGCTAATATCCATGTTAAAAAAGATATTATGATACACGTTAGAATATTTGTTGCACAGATAATGACTCTAACTAAGATACCACACTTCTACAGCTCTTTTGATTTACTGTCAGTGTTATTCCTGATGCTGGTGGACTGTAACAGAAACCATTTGTGAAATACAGGGATCAGAGCCAAGCCAGGCAAATTTTAACTGCTCGAGTATCAACTATATTAAGTCTGATCTAGTTCTGATCTTTTGTGTCCTTTTTTGTGTTCTACTAATGCCACTGTCACAGAGGTGATGTAAGCAGGCATTATTCACAACTTGAGAATGTGAGGCTTGTTTATAATAATACAATACCATTTAAATAGATTTCTGTTGTACATAATATATTGGGAACTACATGAATGAAAAACAATGGTTACTGCCAGAGCACTGTTTGCTATAGTAGTTATGTATATGTAAACTGGTTTATTTACAGTCAGAATAATGAAGGATCACACACTGATATACTTTCCATTCTTTTCTCTTCACAGATAAAGACTATTTCCTGATCGTCATTCAGAACCCCACAGAATGAATTGCCATTGCCATTATTTTCAGTGTAGCTTTTTATTTAAAGGCCAACAATTTTATTTCTCTGCAGGAAAATGAAGTTTGTTTATGTAGTTACTAGATAGGTGTATAACTACTGTTATACAGTCAGAGTAGTTATAGTTCTACAACTACTGTCAGACACTAATGGTCAATATGATCTGCGTCAATAATTTGCAAGAGCGTGATGCTTTTTTATTTGCCCCATCATTCCAGTGTTTCTCATAGTGTTTAACCATCTTAATTTATTATTCCTTCATCTCGGATGCCAATGTTCAGACAATTGCTCACTCAAAAGCATAAACAGCATCTCTCTATAGGAATTTCTGTACTTGCTCATGTTTGTCATAAATGAAAATAAATCAGCCATGAATCTCTGTATTTTAGGCCTTTTGTTTTTACATGAACTGGAAAGATGGTGTTTTATTTGTTACATCTGTATTTTGTAAAACATACTATTGAGAAATGTATTTGAGAGTTTATTTGATGTAGTTCCAACTAAAATTTGTTGCTGAGTAGCTGAGCAGGATGAGTTGGCAGTTCTGGATGTAGAGGTAAAAAGAATGTAATCACATTTGTCTGTGACTGAAACAGTCCAGCAGACCAACATTTGAACATGTTTTTTCAATTATGCATAAGCCCAGTGCTGTCAACAGGGCAACCTTTTGTCAGACATTTAAATACAATTCTACAGTCATCTCCTACAAAAAACACACACCTTGATTTAAGTGTCTAAAATCTATGTGAATATAAATCATATATGAAGAAATGTCTGTAAATGTAGAGGCAAAGTTATTTTTACTTTAAAATGTCAGTGTTGCATATAACGTTTATAACTATATTTTTACACTATTTTCACACACACACACACACACATATATATATATATATATATATATATATATATATATATATATATATATATATATATATATATATATATATATATATATATAAATATCATAATATAATAAAGTGTGTGTGTATGTATGTATGTATGTATGTATTTCTTTTTATTTTGACACTGAGCCTTTTATTTTGCCACGCACTGAACAAAAACAGCAGCAGTGCGATGTTTCCCTTTAAAAGTCTGTGACGTCCTGCGCATGTTTTTATCGCCTCTGGCTCAGAGTCGCTGCTGAGGATCAGTACAGTAAAAACAAGGAAGAATAAAACTGCAAGATCTGACTTTGATCATCTCAAACTACAGTTATGCCTTCCGATAGACCTTTCAAACAACGACGGACATTCGGTAAGTTCAGACAAAAGTCGGTAGAGCAGCTTTATTAGCTTTAGCAGTGTTAGCTATCAGGTTGCTGTTGTTTACGGCTCCTGCTGACAGTACTAACAATGTAAACTTGAGACTGAAAAGTAAGAGGTTTTGCCAGCCACGAATCTAAATGTGAAGCTTGTGTTAATGGTGCTAATACTGAGTAACCTGAATAACAGACATTAACGTCTGAAGTTTCAAGAGTGCTTATTGTTTACGTAATAAAATTGTTTTTGTCTAAAATGGAGTCCCTATAATTTAGCCCTTGTCCCCTTATTCATGGTCCCGTCCGAAGGAGCTGCTTTTCCTTGGTTATCCAGAGAGAAGTTGCATTTCATTCCCACATTAATTATTCACCACTAATAATGAATGTTATTAAAATATGAGATGCCACACTATATCAACGTTACTGATCAAAACTAGACGACACGTATTTAACTGACGATAGCAGTGTTTTTCCTTTGCACTTGTGGACTCCCAATTCCTGAGTGGCCGTGTTTCTAAAAACAGAAAAATGTAGTTAGATATTTTAGCATTACAGAAGTACGAAAGTACACAGAGAAATACCTTAAAGAAATCGTAAATGTGGGTCTTATAGTGACTACAATCTCAAAAAATAAAGTTATTGAAGTTAGCTAACCTAGCTCCGTTAACGAAAATGACGAAAATGTGATAATGGAGCCGTTAGCTTAGCCTTTAACAAACTGACGCTAGCTGGCTAGATATTGCCATTATTAGCTAGCTAACTGTCTCATCTGACAGCTACAGCAAGTGAACAAACTAGCTATATGTATTTATTTTTGATGTAAATCTCTTTATTTTTAGTATCTGTTGATATCGTTTTAGTAACGTTAATCATTCCGTTGAGGCCTCAATCTCTTATAATGGAAAGCTTATAGCTTAGCTTAGCTTAGTCATGACACTGTTTATATTTGTATTTTAATGTGCTATTAAAATTGTATTAATGTGATATTTTGGTGTTGGGATGTTCCCCTTCGTGATAAGTTAAACCTCTTGGCTGTCATCTTAGAAAAAAGCATAAATTAATATTAAACTGCTGGTTCCTTAAGGCTGAATCCCAAATTGACCTTACCTTTGACAAACAGCCCACTATTTAGGGAGTTAACGTTAACACCTTTATTTCATGATATATCTAGGTCTCTATGTAGGGATTAAACATTTTTTTACTTAATGCACCGTCTAGTTCACTATTTAGGGAGTAAATATTAAACCCTTTTCTTTCTTGCCATAGCTAGCTCACTATATAGAGTAGACACCATTATTTCATGCCCTGTCTAGTTCACTTTTTAGGGAGTAAGCACCTTTATTTCATGGAATATTTAGTTCTCTATATAAAAGGTAAGCACTTTTATTTTATTCCCGTACCTAGTTGACTGTATAGGAAGTAAACAGCTTAGTTCTTGCCCTATCAAGTTCACTTTGTAGGGAGTAAACACTTATTTCAAGACTTTTATAGAGAGCATAGTGCATGAGTCTGCCAAATATGGGTAATGTGAGTCATCTAACAGTGCTTATTGTTATGGATAGCTCAGCTTTCTTCTGTGATGGTATGAATTTAAGCGTTTACGGAGGTGCAAGAAGCAGCTGATGGTTATGGTGTGGTACACATGTTGGGTAATTAAGCTGTAACTTGATCTCTCCCATATTCCACACAGGGGAGCGAGTTTGTGGAGGGAGGAGTGTAAAAGCCCAATTCCATAATCTGTGTAGCTTACAGTCTGCAAGATTTGTGCATTGTGCTGAATTTGCTGTTAGCAGGGACATTTTAATTCTAGGCAGACGGCTGTCCAGCTGTGACAGTGGTGCAGGGCAGCTTAATTAAGATTAATGACCTTGAATAGACACTGGCTGGTGACACTGATATAATACAGTGCAGGAAGATGCAGATGACACTGTTCTTTTAGAGTTTAGGCCCAGTTAGACTAAAGTGACGTAATATAAGCAAGTATGTAATACAAGCAAATAATCATGATCTTTTCAAATTAAGCAGCTTTCCTTTACAAGTATAACAAATACATGCTTATGCTTTTTTGTTATTTCATTATTAATAGTATTTCATATGAATTATAATTTGTTAGCTGCAATGAAATGTATTATTTAGTGAGTGTGCCTGTCTTGACATGATTGCAGATGTTTTATGGTTTACTACAATCAAAAATCAGAGCCTAAATGAATGTTATTTTAAAAAACAGTGGGTCATATTACCTTGTATGTTTACATTCCTTTTTACACATAAACATTAAAAAAAAAGATATGAAGGTTGTTATACTGTCTTTATACTGTCTAACTTACTTTGTTGATGATTTAAATTTTTCCATTTTGTTTGAAGCTGATCGTTGTAAGGAGGTGCAGCAGATACGAGAGCAGCATCCTAATAAAATTCCGGTAAGGAACTGTCTGAATTTTGTAACACCTATATAACACCTACAGAAGCATTTCTAAAAGCTTATTCCAATATGAGTCACCAGTCATAAAGCTGGCTTTTCAACTTTGATGTCAAGTTATAACACTTATGTCAGGTGGCATAGGGTTGTGTCAAGGCACTTTTTTGCCTGAAATGACAGCAGATTATACATTAAACTGCAGAGTCCATTTTTAGCCCGCCCCCCCCTTTTTTAGCCGATGTACTGTAAAACGATAGGCTAAATAATAAATTATTTAAATTTAATTATTTAATTTAATAAAGTAAACTATGGAAATTTAATGGCTGATTCCTTGTGTATTACTGATGATGGATGCTTGTTTGAGGTTCTGATAAGTTGCAGTTTAAATTACAGACAACTTTCTCAGCATTCTCGATTCAGGGGTCTGTCTCATGACGCAGTCATTACATCTAACCCTGACAGTTATGTGATTGGCTGTTCACACTTTCATTAATCATAGCCTGAGAATCTAAATCTGGTTTAACAGAGAAAGTTGTAAACTACTGTTCTAAAATGTGTTAACCACAGCTGTTTTGTTAGGTATTTTTGTGGCACTTTTTTGAGACATGATCTGCCAGTTGCTTTTTTTCCCCTCACTCAAGCATCTTAGACAACATACTAGTACAGTAATAAACCTGCTGGCCATGGGGCCCTAAGCAGCTGCTTATGCTGCTTAGGTAGAGCCGGCCCTGGTTATATTACAGTGACATAATGCTGATGATGTGACACAGCTTAAATCTTATAAATGGTAAAATGAAACTCACTTTACCTAAGGGTCACAGAAAATGCACACTTTTGTTGAACCAGCCTGACTTGACAGGCTATAGGCCTGTTCGGACAGGGTTAGCTCTACATGAGGAGGTAGAGTAATGTCGGTTTTAATAGTGTTTCTCAGTGATTTTAGTGCACCATTTCAGTCATTGTTACAGACTACGTGCTCCTGTGTCAGTAAACATTCCACTAATGTCTGTAAAATGAGCCATATAAATAACCTCAGGTTATATGGTTATAATCCCATGCGAATCGAAATGTTAGTAAAAATGCTGCCATATTCTGTGGAAAAGGAGTTTCTTATGTATTGTGGCCCGAAGAAGCATTTAATTGTGCTCCCTGTGGCTAAAATCAAGCCAATATGTATTGTTCTACCTCAAGTGTACAGCTAAGAACATTAAAATGTGTAAAAATTACACAAAAAGGTTGATTTTATGTAGTAAAGTTGTATGCTGGTTCCTGAGCTAATGATCATGTTAATAACACAGTGCATTAATTTAAGACAGCGAGACTGATGGTTGGGGTAAAAGGGTTAATGGCTAAATTGGCTTGTATGTCTTTTCTGCCATTTTTTTTAATTAAAGGCAATACATAAATTGAGTATCCACTCCCATCTCTGTCATTTATACCAAGATTTCTTAGACTGTGCAAATCAGTTATAAACATTACAGACATCCTTTGATAAACTTACATTACTGCACCTCCCCATGGAAAACTATGTGATGTGATGTGATGTGATGTGTCAGAAATGTCAGATAGGTCTTTGTCAGTTGTCATGAAGTGTTATTGCTTTAGCCAATATTACTTTGAAGATGCTGCTTATACTTGCAAACAGTCATGGTGGCGTGATCAAAGTGATAGTGTTTTATTACAGTGGGGAAAAATGGCTGAATTTAAAAACAGTGACTTTACACCACTGCATGCATGTTTTTTTGTTTTTTTTTTCCTCTGAAATGTTTGGTCGTAGGTCATCATTGAGCGTTATAAGGGAGAGAAGCAGCTTCCCGTTTTGGACAAGACCAAGTTTCTTGTACCTGATCACGTCAACATGAGCGAACTTGTGAAGATTATCAGGTAAGAGTTTGGTTTGGTGAAACAAATGCAATGTTACACAACATACATGACCTGTAAAGAATTTCACAAAGCAGGATTTCTTATTTAACCTATGTATGTATGTATGTATATATATATATATATATATATATATATATATATAGGTCTACTGCCAGCAGAGAATCCCTCCTCTCTACCAAACCCAAACCCTAAACTGCTATGAGAGCTACACGGCCATCTATATAGCACTATGGATCCAGTAGAACACTAATGGTGATTTTTAAAGTGGCTTCTATATTAGAATTGGGGTCTAAAAAGGAGATTTCACACACACTGACTTTTTGACATTGCTGTGGTAAGCAACAGATTTTTAACAAAAACAAAATGCATGGAAAATAGCTCAATATTTGGACAAGACTTGCATTATTAGTAAACTCAATTAGCCGAATAATTCCACAACAGTTACCCCTATATTTTAGTATCTGAGTGCACCAGAATATTATGTTAAAATCACAAAAAAAATGTCTGCTGCTGGACTCCACTACAGGGAACTGGTTTCTGAACATGTCACCTTCTCACATAGTTACATATGGAATTATGTTTATATTGATTTACATTTTTTGACAGGTTCGAGTCTGACTTATTGAGGTTGTTTTGATGCCCAAAAAATGACAAAAATGGCATAAATGTAGTGTTTTTTTTGCAGAGCAACACTAACTTTTAATCCAATTTAAATAATAGTAAATAATAATAATGTATTTATTCTTCTACTTACAAACATACTTAATGTACTATAGTTTATAATCTGCACTTTCCACAGAATTACTCTTCGTTTTAATGAGCTACGAATGAGAAATAGTTCATATAAAATTTCAACATTTGTTTGTATCAAGCCTGTCCAATAAGAGAGGAGGTAATACTGTTCAGGCTTAGGGACAATCCCCAATTTGGGTTTAAGTTAACCAGCTTTGCTGAAAAACCCTGCCCAGATCAGTCAATAAATTCAGTCTCCTGAACTTCAAGCCTTTTGTTACCAGTTTGATCCTAAAAGTGTGTCTGGATGTGTGTAAAACAATTTTCGGTATATGTCCACAGACTTTGTGAAGTGATTTAACTTTAAATTGATTCAAATAGGGAGAAAATGTTATCATAACTGTCGTCAAAACGAAAAAATGACGAATAAAGAGAAAATAATAGAGAAAATCAATGTAGTGAAATTTGGTAATTTGGCTCCAGCATTGCAAGTGCATGAAAAAGGTAAACTAATAAAAGTAAACTACCAAAGATAAGCCCATTTGTAAAATGAGGTGTATGTTCTTCTTGTCTGCAGTTTAACTCAAGCTGGTTTGTTTACTGCTCTGGTGTGTGTTTAAGTGGCGGTGGGGGGGGGGTGTAGCATGTGCCAGAGATTTAGAGCTGCTGCTGACCCTGTCGTCCTCAGGGGACTGCTGCTAACGCTTTTAAACTTTCCATCTCTAAAATTAGCTCTGCTATTTTTGGAAGCTAGTCACTTCCTATCATGTAGCATTCAGTTTTTTGATGGCTCCCATGAAAGATGTTAGCAGAAAAAAGCACAATCAACTTTTCTGAGGAATGGATTAGCATGCTTTAGCCTAGCTCTCAGAATATTTCACAATCCTCCTGATCAAATGACCTAACTGCAAGTGACATTTGCCCAACATTTGTGAGCGGCTGGTCAGGCTGTTTCCTAATCACAACTCAACAGCGCTGGACATGTTTATTGAGCTTAATAATAAATCAGATAACACTTTGCCTTAATTTGACTGAGGTGTAAATACAGCTAGAGCTAAGAGTATTTAATGGACAGTTACAGCTAATGTTACACAATATATAAAAACGTTCACTTTATTCACATTATGTAATTTGACAAGGGTCACAAAACATGTAATTTTCCACAAAGAAAACGTATGTTGTTGTTGATTTACCAACTTTACATTTAAACCAGCACTATAAAAAAGGTTTCTCTACAATGAACCTTTTCATATCATACCACTCTAAGTGACTTTGTTTATGTATTAACAACGAAGTAGTTAGTAGTCAGTAACACTTTGAATATTTCTGTGTTCAATCCTGTTAAAACTTGGCTGTCTGATTTTTTGCTATAGTACTTTGATACTACACTTGTTATCATTAACAACCTTCCCACTGAAAACTTTATTTGTTTGAACTTTATCTGTGTGAACTGGAAGTTGATCCCTTTGGGACATCAGTTCTATGTACACAGTTCATAATGCATGCTTTATTTGATTGGTTTTATTTGACAAACTTGTGGCAACCTGTCCTCTTATCTTTGGGTTTGCAAAAGAAAACAGTTTCTCAGAAAAGTTGTGCAACACATTTGAACATTAGTTTAAGTCCGCAGGCCTGGCTTATACTAAGAATTCATGTGTGCTGTGTAAGTTATAATTGTGACACCTCAGCACACGTCTTGAATGCCACAACACCATCCTAAAATACCTTAACACTGTATACTTTCTGGAGAGACTATGTTCCCTATGTGTCCATCCTCTAACTGGTTAGAATAGTTTACCTTGTGTGTGTAGGTTCAGAGCTCTGGAGATGTTTACGATATGACATTAAGATCCTACTCAGTGAAGTAGTTCTTCAGAAATTAAATTTATCATATACAGTCATGTGCAAAAGTTTGAACACCCCTGGAAAAATTATGTGTCTTGTTGATTTTCTAAGTTAGAAAATCTACAAAATTAGTAACTAAGTTAACTAAAATTAAAACATCTTCTACAGGAAACACACTCAAAAAAAACATTTTTCTCTAAATTTTAGTTTACATTTAATACAGAATGCGCCATGACTTTTGTACTGACCACATTTCATGTTTATATTTTTTTTCTGGTATGTTAAATTCAAATAAAGTGTTTGCCAGTTAATGGAAACCCTGCATGAAACAATTTAAAAAATTCAAAACAACTGCTTAGGCTAATGTTTTGTGAAACACTGTATCATTCTTGCAATAAAGTCATCCATGGTGTGTAATTTACATATTGTAACATTTTTATTATTGTGCTTTTTTCAGTTGCCTTTGACATTATTTTTTACCCCCATATCTGTATATCTGTCTAATTACTATCTATTTGAGTTTTTTATCTTGATGTGTTTATGTAGGTTTAAATAGCCATTATAGTTATAGCCTACTTCAGTGTTTCTCAACACAGTCCTCAGGGCCTCACAGGCAGTTCATATTTTTCTTTCATCCCAGAGTGTTGTGAGTTAGGTTGTAGCAAAAACGTGGACAGTTGTGGGATGCCCCGAGGACTGGGTTGAGAAACATTGGCCTATTTGATGTCTCCCTCATCCCATCCTAGAAGCACAAGTTCAACACAGATGAACTTATGCTTCTGGGTCTCCCTGTGTGTATTCATTTTCATCCTTTGGATCACAAAGAAATCTGAGCTGTGTATCTGGGTATCAGGAGAGGAGAAAATGAATCTAGCTACATAGATCGCAGTAACAGCAGGCTAAAGAAGAAAAAAACGGTGGCACAAGCAGATGTTCAAACAGCTGTTAGTGTTCTCTGGCTAGTTAACACAGCTGGTTACAGAAACTTCATACCTTTGAGCAAGTCACATTTCTTGTCATAGCTCAGAAAGCTAATAAAACTACCTACTGTGAGTCAGTCAAAGGAGGTTGGGGTCTGCTTTTCAATCACCCAATAAAACATAATCTGCTTTAGTTTCTTGTCCGCTAATTTGGTGACATCAGCTGTTCGGCATAATCATGTGATGTTAATGCCGTATTGATTGGCTGTTTTATTAAAGTTGCTCCAGGAAATTGGGATGCTTGCAACTGTTGCGGCTGAGTTTTGAATGAGTTGCAGGATGCTTTATATTATGCAACTCAAATGCAGTTTAGTTTCATGTAGGTTTCAAGGAAGTAAAGTTGCATGAAAGTTTCACCGTATAAAGCCAGCCTAATAATTCTAACTAATGTACTGCCACCGCCATAGTCAAACCAGTTATTGCATTCTCTTGTTTCTGTCTGGCCTGCAGGCGTCGTCTGCAGCTGAACCCAACACAGGCCTTCTTCCTGCTTGTCAATCAGCACAGCATGGTCAGCGTGTCCACTCCCATCTCTGAGATCTACGAGCAGGAGCGGGATGAAGATGGCTTCCTCTACATGGTCTATGCCTCGCAGGAGACTTTTGGCTGCTAAGCTTTAATCCTGGCCCCCAGGATTAATCTGAGGGAGGAAGCCGAGAGAAGCCGGAGAAAACAGGCTCAAGCTAAAAGTCCCGTCTCTGTGTTTCTCTCTAAAATCTAGCTTCTCTCCTGCCATCTCTAAACTAACACTACCATCATAGTGTCTCGCTACAACACGAGCGTGCATATGACAGCACTACTGTACCTGCTAGTCCGACCCCTTTGACCTTTTTAATCAACCCAACTCGCTCGTTCCACTTAGTAACATAAGCCTGGGTGTACGTAAGGAGCTGTTTTTACTTTTTGCTCTGGCCCTGTTTGTTTTTATGTTCTAGAATTTTATTGCTTTTATTAGGACCGGTGTGTAAAATAATTAGCAACACTTTTCCAGTCACTGTAAATAGGTTAGTGTCTGTTATTTCTTTTTTTGGTTTTTTAAAGGTTAATCTGTAGTCTAGGCATTGTTGCATTTTTCTGCTCTTGCTTGTAGTAATCCGTCAAACAGTAATCATTTCTGACGCTGGAGTTAGATTTTAAAATCTTTCTTCAAAGGAAGTCATAAACAAAAATGTAGGCCCTATCACATTCACGCATATAAGCTTCAGTAGCATCTGTGCACGGTTTTCTGGCCATGTAAGAAAGAGCCCTGCAAACCAACTTCAGAGTGAAAAACCTGAATAAACCTGAAAAATGCCACACTACACATACACAACTGTGTTTGACAGCTTATAAAACCTGGGGTACATGTAGATGTGATACATGTAGACTTAATAGCCATTTTTATCATCTATACATTCACTTTATTAGCAAATCAGTGAGCCTCTAGAATTAGAGTGCCCCAATTCAGTGTCCAATATTTTAGCTTTGCAGTGGAACTATGAGGCTAATGTACATGCAAAATTTCTGCATGTAAACATCATCGTTAACACCTAGTGTTTTAATACGAAAATAAGTATTGCAGCAACAGATTTTCTTTACAGTGGTGGGAATAGAAACCAGACGTCATAATGTCTATAACTCAACGTATTTGTAACAATTTCATGTAAAGACATTCTGTGAGGGAGCTTTCACAGGCATTAAATGCTTGAGAAGTTTCTTTTCAGTGGTGGTGATAAGAACCAGAGGCCACAATGTCTACAACACTAATATAGCTGTTTTTTCACTATCCAAAGCCACCAGTGAACCTACATGTCTTCTTTTTATGGGTAAGGCTAAAAATGGTAATGATAATCTGAAATTTTTTTTCTTTTTTTTTAGTTATTGGTTACTATTTTGCTTTATCGTGTCTTGTATGTACCACTCCACCCTGAGTGGATTTTAGGCAAAAAAAATTCTTGCAGAAGAAGACAATGTGTATGGAACCATTTAATTTCATAACTTTCTGATCTATTAAATTTCTCTATATCAGAGAATTTCACATCACATGAGATTTTCACATGCAAACGGAATCACTCTGAATGACTTTGTTTACATATTAACTGCATAATTACAAAGAAATTTTGAAAATTTTGTAAACTTCATGTGGTTTGAAGCAAGTTTTGTGTTTAGTTAAGTATGCAGTGTGCACTATGCTAATTGATAAAGTGTAAGCTTCCATTACTTTTTAGCTACATTAGCCTCATAGCTACAGTGCAGAACTAAAAAAGCAAACTTCAGACACATAACCTGTCCTGGTTGATTGATTACATTATTCGGGGATTAATTAGGTAAATTTGATTTCTTGCTGAACTATTCCTTTAACGGTAATCATGAGATAATAAAGTGGAGGTAAAGGATCATCTGTAGGTTTATCTAACACCATTTAGGTCTTGTGTTTTCATTTGGGCTAAATATGGGTTTCACATACCTATTTTAGTCCTTATTACTGCCACCAGGTTCTGTAGGATTGGGTACGTTTACAAATACAGCTCTAGTGGTCAAGCCTAAACTGTGCGAGTATGAATGTGGTCTCTGTGTGTATGTACGCCTCCAGTGAAACAGCAGTCTGTACTGTATATGGGCCGGAGGAACACAACACTAAATGGGTGGTAGGTGAGGTTTCTTTTGGCATACTCTAATAAGTAGAAATGAATATGCTTCTTTTGCACAAACAAAACAGCTAAGAGGATGAACTCTGTTTAAATGTAGAACTTAGAAATCTAGCACATAATTGTATTCTGTTTTATATCTGGCTTCTTTCCTTTCTATCACTATCCGACGTGTTTGCCTTCTGTCCAAAACTTCAATGAAGGGTTTATGATGCACTACAATACCTTTGCATGTTTTTCTCAACCTTTTTTTATATATTGATTTTATGCTATAGATTTGTTAATTATTTCAACTTTATTTAACGCAGAAAGTCTTTTTAGATGTTTTCGAACCAAAAAAAGAAAAAAAGAAACAGAAAACCTGATATAAATATGTATGTATGTATGTGTATGTTTGAAATGTGTGTATAAACCATCATATGATTAGCTCCAGGTGTGCTGTTTGTGTTCTTTATTTTCTTTATTAGGTGGGAATGTATCAAAGGTATTCATGACATTTATTTGTCCTGCTTGCAGTTGGAAGGTCATATTCTGGGGGGAAAAAGGTCATTAAGGAGTAAGGCTATGGGAAATCAGTTGAGCAATCATATCAACAAAATATTATAGTTTTACTTCTTTTTAGAATAATAATGTATGGATATTTGCAGCTTTAACCGTATTTGGTTGAGCATAATCCCTTAACCTGCACATTGTACAACAAGCAAAAATAGACAAAAGCAAGAACAGAATATTCTGATAAGAGCCTAACCGATATATTGGTTGGCAGTGTTGGCCAATGTTGGTAACTGGTAGCACATTGAAAATGTTTTGGCATCACTGGGATTTGAGCTCACTGTCTCCCAAAGGTGGCAACACTTTAGACCAGGGGTCTCGAACTCTAAATTCCTGGGGGCCCAGATGAAAGAATGCAGTGGGAAAAAAAGTCTCAGATAACATATATACTCATTTAAGCAAGGCTTAGTCAGTGTTTGTTAGCAATTTTACTGTCACCACAACTATAACTACTACTGCTACTACAAATAAAAATATTTATTAGTAGTAGTAGTACTAGTACTACTGTGTATATATATATCATATAATAAATATTTTGGTGATCCTTTAAATCAAGTAAATGCACGTTCAACAGCAGAATTATGTAGGACTGTTACTGTGATAGCATTGGCATTCCTGCTAAACACAAGTTTGGTAAAGGAGGACAATTAATCTTAATTCTCAGTGGATTCATCTGATAGATTGTATCCACGGATTATGATATGAATGATATATAAAACAACAAAGGCAGATTTAACTAACTATTGGTGTACATTAGAATAATAGCTTAGTTACAGCTAAATTACAATCATGCCTCAGTGTTTGATGGGTGAAGCAGATCTATCCATCAGATGTAAATATTTGGCCACAGAAAAATAAACAAAAAAAAAACAAAACAAAATTCTCTGGCTCAATTTAAGGACAAATTGTAAAAATGACTTTTGTGTATGAAGCTGTGGCCAGTAGTTTGAGACCTCTGCTTTGGACAGTTGTGCCACAAGGGAGCCAAATATGAACTCCTCAAAGTCAGAATTTTTAGCCAAATGTATATATTGGTCAGGCTCTAGTTTCAGATTTACCACAAGGGTTACATTATGTATCATTTTCATTCCCCCCAAAAATACTGACATACCACCATCACCCACAAGAAGACTAAAATGGAGCTATCAGCTTAAAAAACAAGTGCTAAAAGTAATTTCAAAGCTAAATTACAAAAATGTATGTAGAATAAAAGCATACATATGCTTAACTTGACAACGATGGCTAGATCTCTGTTTTCATGGTCTTATATCCTTAGGAGGAGATGTACTCCGAATTGTCACATGACCTCCATAAATCGTCATCAATCAAAATGATCGACTGAGCTGCACATAGACTACCTGAGAGATTTCTGACTGAAAGCTCCAATTTATGTCACTTAATCCCGGCATAGCACCAATATGTACAAGCCTAAGCACTGAGTCATGGTACCATGGATTCTGAGTAACACAACTGAAGCTTTATCTAACACACTGATAAAATGAATTTGCAAATACTTTGTGGCATTTTACGAAGCTGGATTCCTCCGTCAGCTGGATAACTTAAAGGGCCCATATTTAATTTTAAAGTTCACTTATAACACTTGTGTGTTCCAGTTAACAAAAACAGTTTTCCAGTTTTCCATGTTACAGACTCTCTTTGTCCCTTAGAATTAAACAGATTTGTTAGTGTGCCTTTAAGACTGTCAGAGTCGGAAACAGAGCACACTTCGTTTTGTAAATTTCCAGTCAAAACAACCAAACAAGTACAAGGTATTAATTTTTCAGCATCCATACAATATACTGAAAACATATATTTCGCAGAAAACTACACATAAGCCTCAACAGATAAATAAATTTGATTTTTCAGTACTAAGAGTGTCCACACTTTGTCTTTATTACAGCTTCAATTCTATTCAGGAGACTTGCTTTCAGTTTTCAAAGAAATCTGCAGAGATATATCTCCATACCTCCAAAGTTGAGTCTTAGAAGTTGGTTGCGTTTTCTGCTTCTCACAGTCCAAATAATGCCAAACACATTCAGTGATGTGAGGGCTCTCTGGGGTGGCCAGTCTATTGTTCTGAGAACACCAGCAGCTTCTTTCTTTGATTTGCGAATTTTCAAATCTTTTTTCTCAGTAACAGCTTATTGAGAGCTGCACATCCTTTCAGACCACAGTGTTGTCCTCTCAGAATGGAAGGATGGACAGAAACACCTGTGGATTATTTCAAATCTGAGGCAAGAGTGGGGGCTTGATTTTCTCCTCTCTCTCAAAGTTGAAAGTCTTAAGTCACTTAGTTTAGGTGGTCTACCAGGTCTTGCATGCCTGTTAGGGGTCCGATATTCTCTAGATCTTTTATCTCCAGTTCTGAAAATTCACTTATTTTCCTTTGACTTTACCCTTCCTTATATCTTATATCTAATGTCTAGAGAAATATCTCCTGCAAAATAACTTGTACTTAAGAATAACTTACACTTAGTTTGTTAAACCAAGAATAAAGGGAGGACTCTGACTTTTGCACAGTACACAGTAAATGACCTCTGTTCCTTGTATTGTGCCTCATTCAAAAAGCAGTTTGTTCTAAAATGTATGGATCTTCCGCTCCGCAATAACTGTGCTACAGACTGCTGTAACAACACTCATACATTTTGAAACATTATCAGTGTTTGTCTGTGGAAATTCTCATTTCATAAAAGCAAAGAAAATTTGTCTTTCCACGATATGGGCCCTTTAAGAAAGGTCAATATTGTCCAATAGCTCCCACTTCTTCAGCTGGACAATCTTGACTCATCTGGCTACAAGGAATCTCACTCCTAACTCCTTCGTACTCCTTTCACAGACAGCGAGAAGACAAACACGACACAGAAATATAAACAATTGATTACAAACTGAGCTGAGTCACTACCAGTCAGTGCTGAGATGGTGCAGAAGCCTTTGCTTCTGACCTTAATGGAATACTCCAGCGTTTTTTTTATTTTCAACCTAATCTTTGTCTGCTGCCTCTGTACTGTATGATCAGATAGCAGGAACAATAATTTGGATAAAATGTTCCTGTATTTAGAAAAGAACAAACTTTTTTCACCTCTATTTTGTATGACATATTCTCTCAGTCTGTCCATACTAACACTTGTATTGTTGGAGTGGAACAGTTGTAGTTTCAAATTTGCATCATGCATTACAAATATTTATTCATGAAATTCAGCAAATGCCCAGTGACTTCTAATATAAGTGAGTTTTAAGACAAACAGGTTTTCAGTCTTTAATAAGTGCAGGGAAACATGCTGAAATTATTCTTACCTAATTTACGATTTAAAGGATCCATATCATGAAAAAAACAGTTTTCAAGAACAAAATTTTCCTTACTTTTGTTAATTAAAAGAGTTTGATGCAGTATGTGTAAACAGTTGAAGTTTCAAAATGCTCCTCAGTTATTACATGGAAAGAAAGCCAGTTTTGAATTCACTGTTTTTGTGAAGTCACAGAAGACAACCCATTTACTATCTATTCAGCGAACAGCAGTTTAGCTCCACCCATTCACAATACTTATAAGTTATAAGGGGTGTTTAGGCCTGGACTGCTTTCTGAATAAGGCACAATACAGGGCAGCCAATCAAAACAGAGGTCATTTACATATATCAGTCTTAAAGGCACAGTAACAAAAACAGACTGTTTAATTCTAAGGGATAAAGAGAGGTTGGAAAATGGTTATGTAAAAATGAATTATAACTGTTTTTGGTATATAAAACCTCACAAACATTTTAAGTGGGCCTCAAGGAAAAAGGTGAAATATAAGAAAAATGTATGATATAGGCCCTTTAATACAGATGCAGCAGAGCAGACAGAGATTAGGTTGGAAATAGCTGGAGGGTTCCTCGAAGTCCAATAGCAATCATTTTCCCAGCCTTGGCTTCATGAACCTGTCTTCATGAACCTAATCTCTTCATAGACGAACATGACACAGAAATATAGACAAGTTATTAAAGACTCGACTCGAGCACTTGTCAGCGCTCAGAAGTGAAGTGCTAAGCTAATGTGGACTTGACCACCAGTTAGCATGATATGATTTGCATAGTGCTAAATGGTAGCTATTCACTTTTATTTGTTGTTAGCAACAAGGCTCAAGAGGGTCCTAATGCAAGTTTGCATCACTGCTAAAGAGTCCTTGGCACCATTTAGCCAGCAGGTGGCAGCATTACTCAACAGGAGATGAGGAGTGAGTTGGTGAGGGATTGGTGACTCTGGGCTTTCTCTAACGTGGCACTTGCTGAGAGAATTTCACACGCAGCCAGTTCATGACAAAGAGCATTCAGCACCTCCAGAATGTGAGCCTTCCCTGTGTGTGGAGGGGGAAAACAGACATAAGAGGAATTAAGTCAGGTTCTGTTGTTCACAGCTACATGGCTGGCCAAAAGTTTAAGGACACCTTTGCATAATGTTTTTGATACAAATGTTTACTTAACATATCCAATAGAACGCTGTTTGGATCTTGCCATTTTTCTTTAATGGCAGCAACAAAAGTCCTATTTTATTCCACTGTTGTGATGTCAGCATGCATCAGCATTCAAACCATTAATGAGTTATAAGCCATTTTTGGACCCAAAGTGTCTTATTATGTGCTTTAGTTTGAAAAAAAAATGTCCTATCAAGGAAGACACTCTGTTAAACATGGTGTGCTGAAGAGTGTTGAAGCTAAATATACTCATTTGGGTATTACAGCTACTGGGAAATACACAATACGACCAAAAGTATGTGGACACGTGGCCATCTCACATATATGACCTTGTTGGACATCTCTTTCTAAAACCATGGGCATTAATATGAAGGTGTGGAGCGCCTCCACACCAAACTCATCAAATCTTGTCTTTAAGGACCTCACTTTGTGCACAGGGGAACAGTCACAATGAAGCAGAAAAGGCCTCCCCTAAAATGTTGCCACAAGGTAGGAAATGTGTAACTGTCTAACATATATTTGTATAGTGTAGCATTAAAAATTACCCTTCACTTGATCTAGGGGGCCAAGCCCACACCCTGAAAAACAGCCCAAGACCATTATCCCTTCTCCACTAAACCTTACTGTTGGGACTAAGCGTTCCAGTAGATAGCATTTCTCTGGCATTCTCCAAGTCAATCAGACTACCAGATAGTGACGCATGATTAATCACTTCAAAGAACATGTTTCCACTGCTCCAGAGTCCAGTGCCAGCATACTTCACACCACTCTAGCTGATGCTTTCCATTGCGTGTAGTGACCTTAGGTTTGCATGCAGCTGCTCGGCCATGGAAACCCCTTTAATGAAGCTCCAGACACTTGGTTCTTGTGCTGATGTTGCTCCCAAAGGCAGTCTGAAACTCTGTAGTAAGTGATGCAACAGAGGATGAGTGATTTTTACGTTGCCTGCTTCAGCACTCCCCGCATTGTGTGTTTGCGCCAACTACCACTTTGTGGCTGAGCTGTTTGCTCTAGACACTTCCATTTCACAAAAGTAGCACTTATAGTCGACCGAGGCAGCTCTATCAGGGCAAAAATTTCACAAACTGGCTTGTGGCACATGTTGCGTCCTGTGACAGTGCCATGTTTACAGTCCCTGAGCTCTTCAGTATGACTCATTATATTGTCAGTGTTTTTCTATGGAGATTGCATGGCTATGTGCTTGATTTTATACACCTGTTAGCAATGGCTGTGACTGAAACTCAATCACTAGGAGGGGTGTCCACATACCTTTGGCCACATAGTGTATCTATTGTATGTTTTAAAAATACTGAAAATTTTAGAAAAGAGCAAACGGTCCTGAAACTTTTGATAGGCAGTGTGGAACAGGATTTGGAGTCCTACCATGTTGGGGATCACTGCAGGATTCCAGCGTACTCAGTAAAATCTTTCCCAGCGACCTTCTTGAGACATTCTGAAAGCACATTAACTCAGTCAGACCTAAAACCACAATCCATCAAAATATTCTACCATTCAAACATTCATAGTTTTCAAAAATGCTGAAGGGCTCATATCTTGCACTTTTTTTGTATATAATTGTTTTGTTTCTCTTGAGGTAAACTTATAATGTTTGTGGGGCCTTCTCTACCAAAAAGTCAGAATTCATTTTTATTTTCGAACCTCTATTTATCTACTAGAATAAAACAGCTGTTTTTGTTACTCTGACTTTAGGACTGATATATGCAAATGACTTCTATTCTGATTGCCCTGTATTGTGCAGAGCCAAACTGTTGTAGGTGGAACAGGAGGATATGTGTAAATCTGTTGGGTTTTTGTAGTTTCCATATATAAACTGTATGGACTGAGGACTGAATTTTGATGTCAAGGGTGTATCTGCAAGGGTATATTTTATAATTGGGGAGGGTGCCTAGATTTATCTAGAAAACTGTAACATTATTGAAGATTATCCTCTCATCCTCATTCTTCTTTTTCTGCAGTAATAGAGTCACTGTGGAAATAGGTGTAGGGTGAACATGAAAACCCACTAGTAGCCTACTAATCTATACACTAACTGACCACTTCATTAAGTACACCTCCTTGTATCTACACTCACTCCATTTTATCAGATCCACTTACCATATAGGTACACTTTGTAGTTATACAATTACAGACTGCAATCCATCTGTACTTTGTTAGCCCGCTTTTACCCTGTTAGGACCCCTACATGACCACCACAGAGCAGGTATTATGTGGGTGGTGGATCATTGTAAGCACTGCAGTGACACTGGTGGTGTGTTATTGTGTGTTGCACTGGTCTGAGTGGATCAGACAAAGCAGTGCTGCTGGAGTTTTTAAACACCTCAGTGTCACTGCTGGACTGAGAATAGACCTCCAACTAAAAATATCCAGCCAGCAGCGTCCTGTGGCCACTGATGAGGGATTAGAGGATGACTAACATGAACTGTGCAGCAACAGATGAGCTATTGTCTCTAAATTTACATCTACACTGTGAACCAACAAGGTAGGTGTGTCTAATAGAGTGGACAGTGAGTGGACACAGTGTTTAAAAACTAAACACAAGAGGGTGTAGAGGGATGGTTGGTCAGTGTTTATTAGTGATGTAGCTGTACTTCCCTTTGACCCCAGTGGACATTACCAGTCGATAGTATGCCTATGGTTTTGAGACTGACCAGTTCTCTGAGCTGCTGAAGGAGCTGCAGGACGTCCATGAGTTTCTCCTCCACCAAAGAAAGCCGCACACGCTCTGTCTCCAGCATCTGCAGCTCCCTGTGGAGCAGCTCTGTCTCCTCAGCCTTCTGCTGGAGCTCCTGAAGCAGGGCGTCCTTTATCTGCACACACAGACACACAAAGACAACTGTTAGTACTATGTTTATGAAGACACACTATTACTGTCGCATTTTAGTCCAAGATTAGGCTTAATCCAAATTTGAGAAACCTACAGTCAGGTCTATAAATATTTGGACACTGACAAAGTTCTACTTTTAGCTGTCTACTACAGCATATTGCAGTTGAGAAAGGGGAGACTTTCAGCTTTAATTTACAGGTATTTACATACAAATTGTGTGAATGATGTAGGAATTACAACCGTTTTCATATATGGCCACCCCCTTTTTAGGTGCTCAAATGTAATTAGACAAACTAACAACCATGAATAGTCATTTTTTTTAATACTTGGTTGCAAATCTTTTGCAGTCTGAAGTATGGAACCCACAGACATCATGAGATGCTGGGTTTCTTCTCTGATGATGCTCTGCCAGGCATTTACTGCAGCTGTCTTCAGTTTCTGTTACTGAGGTGTTTTACTTTCAGTTTTGTCTTCAGTAAGTGAAATGCATACTCAATTGGATTGAGGTCAGGTGATTTCCTTGGCCATCGCAGAACACTCTGCTTCTTTGCCTTTAAAAAAAGGTTTAGGTTGCTTTTGCAGCATGCTTTAGATCATTGTCCATTTGCATTGTGAAAAGCTGTCCAAGCATTTCAGTGAATCTAAGCAAATAATACAGCCATACTCATTGCAGAATTCATCCTGCTGTTTTGTCAGCAGTCACATCATTAATAAATACAAGGGAAACAGTTCTACTGGTAGACATGCATGCCCACGCCATAACATTACCTCCACCATGCTTTACAGATGAGGTGGTATTCTTTTGGATCATGAGAAGTTCTTTCTCTGCTTCATACTCTTCTCTTGTCATCATTCTGGTACAAGTTGATCATTGTCTAATCTGTCCATAAGTTGTTGTTCTGTACAGGCTTTTGTAGATGTTTTTAGCTAACTCTAAACTGGACTTCCTGTTTTTGGGGCTTACCAGTGGTTTACATCTTCTGGTAAACCCTCTGTATTTACTCTGGTAAAGTCCCCCTCTGGCCAACTGTTCATCAACCACAGCTGCTTTCTAGGAATTTGTGTGTGCATTTTTTCTTTTTACGACCTGACCAAATAGTTGATTTGGCCAAACCTAATGTTTGTGCTATCTCTCTGGTGGGTCTGTTTTAAATAGTTAGCCTAGTGATGGATCTTTGGACTTCATATTGAGAGTTAACAGCACCAGATTCCAAATGCAAGTGCCACACTTAAAATCAACTTTTATCTGCTTACTTCTGAGAGGAACAAGAGGCATTATTGCAAATGTTGGCAAAATTACTAGAAAAGCCAAGGAGTTCAAAAAGGTAGTCAACATGATTCATTGACTACAGAAACATTCAACTGAGCTTATCATGATAAATTATTCACAACAGAGGATGCAGCACTCAAGAAATATAACACAGATTGGCACTCGGCATCTTATTTTGGACACATTCTGACAAGAATTGATCCACTGGAAAAAAAAACATTATGCTTGGATGTGTTGAAGGTAAAAGAGGAAGAGGATGACCAGCAACAAGATGGATGGATACAATCAGAGGAATTATAAACCAGCCATTAAGAAACCTGAAGATCAGGATATTCTGGAGGAGCACTATCCATATGCTCGCCAGGAGTCAGAAATGACTTGATGGCACTTAATAATAATATAGTCAGCTAAAATGAGTTATTACTTATTGCTATTGGTTGGTACCACAACAGGGTGTTAACTATCAGTAAGAAGTTATAGTTAGTCCAGAAATTCCATATCAGTGCATTCCTAATTAGAAACTAATTAGTGATCCCCTAGCTGTACATGCACATACTGTACTATGTCCAAATCTCAACTGTTTCCAACAGTTCCACATATTAGCTGCCAGGCTTGGGTGTGTTTCTGTGGTAACCACAGCAAAAAACAGCTGTGTACACACACTCTCACACACACACAAGCTGTAGCTATCCAACACTGTGTTGGCAGGCGGTTGCTTGGGTGTGCTTAAGAGATGGAGCACTACATCACTTTCTGTGGTTTAGCTCCATTTTCATAATATTATCTCACCAAGCCAGCTGTCTGTAACAACCCACCCACTCGATCCCGCTACAATTGCAAAGTCTCGCCTGAACAGAAATTCCGGTCTAAATACACGGTGCTTAAGGTGAAGCATATGCTGAATACCTGAAATGTCCCCAAAATTGACACCAGGTCAGAGGTCAATAATCTGAAGTTATGTATATGACTCAATCGCATTTTAATGATGCATGTCACTGAGCTCTTCGGAAAGGGTGGTCCCCATGTGACATCCCCCACCCTGCATAAAACAAGTATTCAATAGCATTAAAGTTTAAAGTTTGTAATAAAAACTGGAAAGTTTCCTATTGCAAAACTGGAAGGTTCTTGTTTTGCAGATACATGTATACATTTTAATACTAGTACAGGACAGTTTCATAGGTTTAAAATAGTTAGTGGAAAACACAAAATTCGTCTAGCATGAAGCTGTAGATAATGTTAAAATGATTGCAAAAGTTGTATAATGAATTAAATCAAGTGAATAGAATTTAGACAGAGAACTGGACAAAAATGATGAGTAATTACCATATATATTTCGTTTATTCATTCCCAAAATACTTTGAATATTGAATTAAACATCTCTGCGTATGCACACATACCACATCTATCTATATATCTATATCCACCTATCTATCTATCTATCTATCTATCTATCTATCTATCTATCAAAACAAATTTATATACCATTTTTAGCTACTGAAAACTTCTGTAAGGAACTGTTATAAACTATAACATTGACAAACCAAAAGGCCAAAGTTGTTTTCCATAATCTTCCATTAAAATGTGACTTTTGCCTGCTCCTGAAAGGTATTTTGATTTTTGGCTATGTCATGTCATCATTAATATAACAAGTGAATCAAAACTTTAGAATGGTAGCATGTGTATGTCTGTCTGCAGGGGGCAGCAGTGTACCTGCTCAGGATCTGGGTGGTCTCTTCTGGCCTGGCTCTCTCTGAGCTCCAGCTGTTTGTGTAGGCGGGTCACTCTGTCCAGCAGCTCCAGAACAGCAGTGTAACTCTCCTCTGCTCGTGACTCTCCACAATGGGACAGCAGCCTCTTCAGAGCTCTCTCATCACACCTGAGCACAGAGTGTGCATTTTTCATCCAGTTTCTCAAAGGAGCCGAAGCATCTAATTCAGTGGTCCCCAGTTCACCTCCTGGTCATCTATCTTACTGGGAAGTTTAGTTTCTATACCACACACAATACCTTGACTCTACCATGTTCATGTCACTGCCGTGGTAGGAATGGTCCACCACTTACATGATATCTAGTCAGCAGTGGTCCTATAGTGGTCCCTTTTTGAAGATTAATAGGATCGAGGGGGGCTGATAAATTGGACAGCAGTAACAGGTGGGCTTACCAAGTGCACCTATTTAGTGAGTGTTTCAGGTAAAATGGTCAATGAGTGTAGCTAAAAGGTAAGTGTATCCACATCCTCTACAGAGAACACACTTCTGCACATTTCATTGCATAAATACAGTTCATCTATTATTAGTTATTTGCTGCACTTAACGTATTGAATAAAACAAAAATAAAACATAAAATGTGGCCTGTGCAAAAGTCAGGGACATTTTAGGTTTTATATTTGTACTATTATGTCAGTATATCAGTATGTTAAAAGTAAAAGTAAAATGTATATTCAAGTTGGTTCCCTGTAGAGGTTGTGTTAGATTATTTTCACTTAGTAAATCAACAAAACATGGAATTTGACCATTTGGGTGTTCAGACTTTTGCAGACAACTGTATAAAATGAAATATTAAAAATGAAATAAAACAAATATATGTAAAGAAAAACAGTTTATTTAACGTACTTTGTCAGAATGAGTATTCAGTGAGAATTCTGATAGTAAAAATGGCAATAATGACAAATTAATTAATTAATATATAGGCCAGTTCACATATGGCCCAAAATACTATAACATGTCATATAACATAAACTCAGTGTGACTCTCCAGATGAACAACTTCACTGATTCAACATGGTAATTCTCATTCCTCCTATCATGCTAGCACTAAAACAGATTACCAATACAATACAAGTCTAAACAAGTGGAAGGAACCCTTCCAATTAGTGGATTCAGCTTCACAGTGCACTTCTTGCTGACACAAGTACTCAGCTGCATCAGCTAAAGGGGTATCAAACCCCCAGCTTTGGGCTACGGAGCACTGGAACTCTGTTCTCTGGAGCAATGGAGCTCCATCTAATACCTTTAGAGTTAGTTGAATTGGCGTTTGTGGTTCAGAGGTAATCATCGAAAATCAGTACCTGACCTCACTAATGCTCTAATAGCTGAATTCAATGAAATCCTCACAGCAATGTTCTAACATCTAGTGTAAAGCCTTCCCAGAACAGAAGAGAAGCTGTTATTACAGCAAACAACTGGACACATAGTGCAGTAACATGCATCCTAGCCAAAAGTGTGCCCATATAATGGCTCTTTAATCATTTGCTCTTAAATCTACAGTAACTTCAAGAACCCATGGGGTGCCCATAAATGTACCTGAGTGGGTTCAACATTCTCCTCTAATAAGCTATGTGTTTTTCTGCTGGTACTGAAACACCTTATAAAAGGTTTGGAACAATTTAAGGTTATGGTATCTAAGGGTGTTCTGTCCACACCTCTCCAGTGCTCGAACTCAGAGCTGTAAGGATAAGAATCAAGCGTCAGTTAGGCCTCTTACAATTATTACATAATTATTACATTACTGATTGCAATTATTTGAGTTACTTAAGCTGACTACAATTATTTTCCACAATTGTTGCATTCAAAGGTCTCACTTTATTTGGATAGTGCACTATAGTCCTGTATAGATTACCTACAGAAGTTCAAATTGTTAACACACTATCTATTGGAACTCAGTTGATTCTAAACAATGGTGGGGTTAGGGTTAGGATTTGGACCAGGGTTAAGGCTAGGACCAGGGTGAGGGTTGGGTTTAGGTTTTGGGTTGAGGTTAAGGTCAGGGATGGGATTAGAGCCAGGTTTAGAGTTAAAGAATATTATGGACAATTTAGTACATATTTAGTTGTAACTTGAAAGTAAATTAAGTATCTACAAAGCAACTAAAGTGGATTATTCACATAAAGTGGTACCTTCATATGTTTACATCGCAACAAACAATGTGAACTGGGTGTGTTTTGTCCATAGGGTTGAGACAAATCCATGTAAACAGAAGAAAGCAGAAAAAGCTCTAACCTGTTAACTGTTGCCCCATTTTTGCCTGAAATGTCATACCCAAAATAAAAGGAGCCTGTTCCTACATACTTTGGGCTACAATCATGATCTTGGTCTCAAGTTTTTTTCTCAACCGTGAATTACTGACACAGAGTAACAGAGGCTGTCTTTTTTTATGTGTGAGCATAACATACAAAACATTTGTGAGCAATTTCGCTGTTTATAAACTGGTGCTGAGGTGTGGTGTAGTGCCTTTCTTTTTGTTATTGCTAGCCGTGTAGTCTTTAGCATGCTAACTAGCCAGCTAGCAGAGGAAAGTAATGAAGTTGTATCAGCAGTTATGTATAAAAGATGGAGTTAGGGCTGTTACGATTGTTAAATTTTAGCTGACAATTAATTGTCATATAAATAACTGTGATTAATGATGTAACTGTCTTTTTTTGTACACTGTATGCATCTAGTAAAGTGGCAAAATTTGCTTATTAGCCATCTTGCTTCCTAGCTAGGTTACTACGTGGCTAACACAGGTAGTACTGTCAAACTGATAAACGACAGTGTTGGGTGAGCACACACACTCACACAAATGTTTAGATACACAGAATCATGTGTAGTCAAGAGAAGGTTAGATTTTTTCTTGAGAGTGAAAAAACCTCATTCTGCTAACATCCAAGCTAAAAACAATAGAACTGCACAGCTACACAGCTAACAAACTATCAAACATTTGTGCTACTTCTAAATATGTTAGAAAACTGAGTTATAAGTCTCTTAGAATTCTTTCTTTTACAGTTGTTTGCCTCAACCCACCACACCCAATTCATATTTTGCTTGTTGAGGCATAATTTTATTGTAAAATCTAATGATTGTGGAAAATTGTAGTGAACTTAAATGACTGCGGTCATCTTGAATAACTGCAATTGGGCGATTATGTAATAATGGTGACAGGCCTAGATGGTGTAGTTTGCAACCTAAAGCCCAGCAAATCCCAGGTTATGATTTTGAAACATTTAGCATTTTAAAGCACTTTTCTGCTGAGGCTTATAAACAGCTTTGTCTGCCTTTATTTTTGCGTTTGACAAAGGAATTACGTCAGGTCGCAGTAATATCTGGCAAGTTCTGCGCTGAAGTCGACACTTGTGTTCACTTATTTCCTCACCCTTCCAAAGGCCCAACTAATAAAGAGGAACATTTCAGCTTAGCTGCAGCTTCATCTCCTTCATTATTCCCCATCTTGGCTGAAAAGTGAAGCTTCAAAAGCTTTAGGGATCAGTTACAGCAACCAGAAGAACATTATTAATGCCACAACAGCAGGAAGAGTGATTCAAATCAACTTTTAGAGAACTGTGATTTGTTTATACGCCCAAATCGGGGAAAGAACCAGCGAGTCAAATATGTGCATATGGAAAGCCCTGTAGTTTCTCTGGTTGCTGTAGCATCCTTGCATGCTTAAAATCCCTACAGTTTTCTCACTATTAAATGCAATTTCACTAACAAGGCTATTTTCAGACAGACATTTTCCAAACAATGTGGAGCCAAAAGTTGATGCACACAGCTGTATAAGTTTACAAATGAATACATTTTCTCTGAAGTTTTTTGCAAGGTAATAATAGGAATAGGAGAGAAAAGCCAGTAGGAACAAGTTCAGAAAGTCTGCTGAAAAGAATAGATCATTAAAATGTATTAATTGGTTGCATACAATTATACATACAAAATAGCACATCAGCACAACTGCTATCGTTAAGCTATTTTGACAGGAGTTGTGTTGGTGTTGTTTATGTGCAACCACTTTATATATTTACATGTAAATTCAAAGCACCATTTTTTCAGTGTTGAGTCTGGGGACCTGTCCTGCGATGGACTGGTGACCTGTCCAGGGTGTTTCCTGCCTTCTACCTGACGACCGCTGGGATAGGCTCCAGCTCCCCCAGAAGGATAGGCGGCTTAGATAATGTGTATGTGTGTGTGTGTGTGTGTGTGCGTGAGTCTGGGGACTGAATTCGTTGGAGCCAGGCATTTAGATTGCCTCTTAAATGTGTCATACTTAAAGAGGAATTCCACCGATTTTCCAAACCTTCAGCTTAATGCAATAGTTGAGATGTAAACAAAGTCATTCAGAGTGGTTTGATGCCATTCTAGAGAAATTTCAGAATTTTCACAGCGGTATTGATAGGAACCAGATGTCCTGATGTCTACAACACAAATACAGACATTTTATTTACAATGCAAAACCACCAGTGAACCTACACCTGTCTTCTGAATTTTTATATGTAATGTTAATGATGGTAAAATAAAGAAAAATCAGAAAAAAAAAATCGGCTACTATTTTGCCTCACAACGTATGTACATGTACCCCTCCACCATGAACGCATTTTCTGTGAGGTAACCTGTAAAGGCATTAAACTCATATCAATGTCTGGTTCTTATCACCACACTGTTAGCAATTCTGAACTGGTAAGTTTCTCTAGAATGTAGCATTTTACATCAAACCACTCTGAATGACTATATTTACATCCCAACTTTTAAATTAGGCAGTGGATGCAGGTTTAACATTTAAAACCCTGATGTTTTTCAAGCCCTCCAAGCGTCAAGTATAGTATACAGCCTTAGTAACATTCGTCACTGAACCCTGTCCGAAGAGCTGAGTGCTTTAAACGAAACCCCTCTCTTCGAAAAGCATTAATGTGAACACTAATCTTGCACTGATCTAATCTAATCTAATCAGCACTGACTCTTGTTTTAGCAGAGTAAATAGTCTGACTTTAAGCAAGTCTATTAGAAATACTTTACAACTCGGCACAGTTTGAGGTAAGCGTGTGATGATTTGGACATTCATTTTGCACAATACTAATTGAAGGAGTATAATCTTTCATTGCTTTACTACATCAGCCCCATAGTTCCAGCGCAAGAAGTAAACCTCAAGACATCAATCATGTCTTGGCTGATCGTCTACTTCTCGAGTAAGGAAGGATTTATGTTTGCAAAACTATGCCTTTAAGAATGAGCGCGCAGTCTGCTATACCTGTCTCCACAGCAGGAGAGTCTGGTCAGGATCCTCTTCACCTCGTCCACCTGCCTCTGCTGCTCTCCCGTCCAGCGCTCCTCCTCTTCATCTGAAGCTGCTTGACCCTCCACAGAGCGGAACAACTGCTCCTCCACTAAACACAGACACATGCACTGTGTTAGCATTAGCATATAAGGTAGGGATACAGTTAATTTGCATGTTATCAAGTAATTTTAAACAGATAACAGCACACACTGTATGTTACAGATAATTAATAATTATTGTGTACATGTTCAACACTGCATTTATTTACTGTCTGCAACAAATTAAAGACAAAGTTTGTGAAAGATCAAATCTGCACTGTTTTAGTCAATCATCCAAGATGTGTTTGTGTCTAAAGCTTGCTTCTCTACTTGCACTAACAAATAACGGAAGCTTATCTACTGCCAATTAGCATCACGCAAACTGCATGCCTAAATCATTACATACTTCCTTCAAAGTTATCCGATGTAGAAACAAGCAGAGATGTGAGCGCAAATGATGAATCAGCTTCAGTTTATGAAATCAAGGCTACCAGTACCATTTACATATCATTTACATGATACACACCCTAATTCGTGCAGATGTTCCATTAGGAAGCCAATGAAAACTCGTAGGCGGAGTTTGAGGTTGAGAAGTGACTGCACTGCTTCCCATACTGACCAAATTTAAGGGTGTTAAAATAACGATGACTGGAAAAAATAAAATGCAAAATAAACAAAACGTCTCAGTTTTTTTAGGTAGTATGATGTGCAACTCTGATGAACAAGGGCCATTGTTAACTATATTTGGGCTAAGAGGAATATTGTGTAAATTTGATTGTTCACCAAATTATTATTTGAATAACTAATATTCGGTGCACAGTTTGACAGTACACTTTGCATTATGGCACAAACTACACAGACACTATCATACTGAAAATGCTGAATGAATGCACATGACTGACCATTATCGTGAGTGTTTTCCGCCCGTCCGGTTGGGGAATCCCGGTCTCGCTGGGAATCCAGACAGCAACGTCGATTTTGCCGGCCGTACCGCATCTCCTCCACACTGCTGAACACTACAGACACTTTGGACACCTCTGACCTGCATAAAAACACAAAACCAGATCATTACTGCAAAAAAACACAAAGCCTGAATATTATTATACACAGAGAAATACAACGTCTGCACTTTAAGATAAAGTCTTTATCGACTTAATATGCGCACTCTAAGGGCTTTACAGACGTATAAAACGTATCTAAAGATGTAGTTATAATACTGACGGAGCTGCAGCTCCACAATGCTGCTGCACCCTCCGCCATGCTGTTAGGTGTTAGACACAGTGTGGCGATTTCTGAACAAGCCAAGCAAACATTCAGGCCAGAACTCAAATCTGTAACAGCTTATTTTAGATTCATATTGGAATTCTAATCAGTTTATTTTAGATGTCGGCAACATTTGTTCAGTCTGAGTAGCAATAAGAGTGACAGAAAGCTGGAGCTTAACAGGCACAATGAGAACATTACAGATCATCTTTCTTGATTAGGAATGCATGATAATCCATATCCAATCAGGTGTTGAGGGATGATGGTGTTGAACACTTGACTTGACTTGACTTGACGACATTGAAATCATATCAGTATCAGCAGATAATTGTTTAAAAGAAATTATAGGCATCGGACAGATGTTTAGGTTTAGCCAAGGTTTCAAAAACATATTTGATCATGTATTTATTGCACTCCAGAAGAGCAGAATGTGTAGGCAACGCTAGACTAATAAAACTAATAAGCTAAAATGTCTGCACTTAATTTGACTGCATTTGGAACCCTACAGAAATAAATGTCTGTGTAATACTAATTCAGGTGAATTTAGTCCCACTTTCTACATTTTATAAATGATTTTGTATTGGCTTCGGCAGATGTGTTCATCGAAAATATTAGATCAGCCCACAATTTTGCTGTACATAATTATATCATTTTAATTGCATACTATATTTATAAAGAATATTTATTGTAGCTTTATCAAATTCAAATCATAATAAAGTATTTAACGCATCCTCTACAGAGAACACACTGCATATTTTCATCCACAATTATTTATTTATTTGCCACAATTATTTATTTATTTGCTGAATTTAACACATTGGAAAAAAAAAACAAACATAAAAGTTTATAAGGCATGTAAAATTGTGTGCCTGTGCAAAGGTTATGGTGCATTTTACTTTTTTTCCCCAACATGTTAAAAGCAGAAAATGAATAGAAATTGTGCACTTAAATCTGCAGAGAACTAGTGTGTTAACTTATTTTCAAGACACATTTTTGACCAGGATTTTTCAAAGTCTTGCATGCAACTCTGTGCTTTGCCATTGCTAGCTAAAACTGGGACTTCTAAGGGTCAAGAAAATAGAAAATTAAAAGAAAATGTAACCATTGTCCTGCTGCCTAAAAGGGTTAAATGCACTCAAGCAAAAACACTGATGGTGGCCATGTTTCTCTGCACACAGGCTGAGGAATATGAGCTGTGTGCAAATGTACAGTATCACCCCAGTCCCTTCCATAACATCAAAGAGGGGCCCAGTAACTTGATCTAATCTGCAATAATTCACGTCCATAAGCACTGTAATCATTTCATTGGCAGTTGTGATAAAGCAGTGAGAGCAGGCTGTGCTGTGAGTAATTGAAGCCAGGCCTGCAGTCGGACGCATTCTGCTAAGAGCTTATAGCTGGAGCCATATTCACAGATCCCAATGAAAAACATCAATAACTTCACAGACATATAGGACTATATAGATCTTATTCACTGTAATTTAACAATACAAACCAGGTTTAAATATGCCCTCCTAAACAAACCAGCTGGTTAAACTATACTACAACTTTATGAAGGGAATAAATTAAAAAAGTCTTTTGCTTTTGAGTTATGAGACATTTTAAAAGCGGGTCATGTTCAGGTAGATGGCAGCTGTAATACAGCGCAATTGTTTTTTTTTTTCTCTAGCCATTGGTTGGAATACAGCAGTCGCTCTGCTCTTTTGTGTAAGGGGAAATCCGATAGGGGGCCTTCATGAATCGCAGTCTAAGTGTTTCCAGATGACAGCGTCTTGCCAGAGGAGAAAAAAAGGAAAGTGCTCAAGAAATACATTTATACATTTTCAGAGGCCTGTATCCAGAGGAATGAAAAAAAGAAAGTCATGCTCACACACATTATGCTGCTGTAGCAGAAATGACGGGAAACGATTCAGTTTAATTCAGATTCTTTAGGAAAGGATTCAGTGCATCATGAAATGTCTTATTTCACCCCGATTTGATCGTTTTGGCATGATTTTGAATTGTTTATAAAAAACAACTAAATATACAACTGTGACTGAAGAAACTATTGACTCAGTAGTGCATAAAGGCAATAAAAACAACACACAGCTTTTTTGGGAATTTTTACTTTCTTTTTTTTCATTTTGGCCAAAAATGAGTGTACACTTTATTGACTATTATAAACAATGGATTCCAAAACTGATGAAGTTGAATTGCCTCCTCCCCAAGTATCATACATCCATAGCACTGAGGGTAGGGCTGTCAGCTGGGATCTTAACCCTCCTTTTATGTTGCGGCTCAAATTGACCTGTTTCAAAGTTTAAAAACACACACAAATCATTTTTAATAACCCTTTAAAAAGCCCACCAGCAGGCCCAAAGTTTTAATACACAGTTCTATAACCTAAAAATAGCTCAGCCAGTTTGCATTGAAGTCCCTGTAGTTAATGAATAATAAGCCTTAGTATGTAATAAGCCTGGGTTTAATTAGTGTAATGAACATGTGTAAATAGAAAATTAGAAATAGAAAACTAATCTAACATGTTTACATTACACACATAAAGTCGAGGTCAATTTGACCCAGCAGTGAAAATGGAGACTACAAAAGGTAAAAGTATGAAATTTAAACCGAAACTGATTTGTTTCCTTTTCAAATTTGAGACACAATGTGTTTGCCTAATCCCTCCCAAACACAAACAGACATACACACACACACACAATCTTGTTTCTGTGGATTGTGGGGCCATTACACTTCCACCCATTTCCTGGAGATATACCCAAATCTTAACCTGAACTACTCCCAACCTAACCCTTATCATAACCCTAAACCTAACCTTACCCTCATCTTAGTATTAAATGATTTATGTTGTGGGAACGAGCTTGTGGTCCCCACAAAGTGAATGTATAAAGAGGTTTTGATCCCCACAGTGTGGCATAAACCTGGTCAAATTTTCTCTTCCTTTCTTGTTCAGGTTTTTCTGTGCCTGTTTTAAACATGGAAAAAAGTAAAATGTAGTTTTAAAATAATACTTGCAGGTCATTTAGTGTGATTTAAATTAAGGTCAATTTCACCTGAAACAGAAGCAATGTTTCGTTTGCATTAATCAACATGCTCCCATCACAGAAAATGTCAGAATTGTTTAAAACAGTCTAAATAATATAAGAATAAATAAAACAAATGTGCTGAATGTCTAGTTTCTGCCAGTGTACAGAAAAAAAACAGAAAATTATTTTTTAAGGAATAACAAGTGAATTATTATAAGTAAAACATGATCTGTAAAGGGTGAAAATCTTGATTCCATTAAACACTGATTACATTAATATTAATTGAGCTAAAGATAATGTTTATGGAGAAAAATATATATTTTCAACTACTTTCGGATGGTTAAACATGCATCAGGTCAATTCGACCCAAGACCTTTATTGCTGTTCCTTTAAGTAGAACATAACTGGAAGGTTAAATTAAATTTGAATCTTAACCGTGTTTGTCAAATATTCAGATATTGTCACGAACAGGACTCCATTTCCCAGGATGCCACTGACTCTCACGTGACTTCTAACCAGAGTCACATGACGTACCCCCCATTCTCAATCACCTGAATATTGATTCTTTTTACCTGTGTCCCAGCCTATAAATACTCACCCTGTTGTATTGTTCTTTGCCGAGTTTTGACTAGCCTACTAGCATCATGAAGCGTTCCATGTCTGTTTATCCTTCCGTGTTTGACCTTAGCTTGTTTTTGACTCCGTGTTTTGCCTCTCCCATTTGGACTGTTTCTCTGGTTTGGATCTTTGCTTGTTTTTTGACTACGTCTTTTGGTATGCCCCTTTACTACTTGTTTTTGTGCTGTTGCTGACTCGGACTGTTTTTGACCATCTCTTTGTATCTAAGCCCTTTATTAAAACCTCTTTTCTTAATCTGCGAGTGTCTGACTTCTGTCCTGTCCTGACAGATACACAGTTGTATGAACTGTATGCCCCCAGTCAAATTCCATGTTTTGCTGATTTTCTAAGTTAAAATAAACTATAAAAAAACTACAAAAATGGAGATACAAGGTTTTCTTCCGACAGCAGCAATACATTTTGTATAAATATAATTTTTTTACATTTGAATGTGCACAAGGTCACTGAATTTGACTATTATTCTAATTTCAATTTTTGACAGTCCTAATTAAGGGTAAGGCTAGTAACTAGACATCCAGACTGAGGGTCAGTAGGCAGGTGCTGGTGGTGGATGGCAATGACCTGCAGGTGGACAGGTCAGAGGATGGCACAGCTTTAGGGCAGGAAGGTCAAAGTTCTGGATGGTTTAGTGCTTATTCACCTCTAAAACACACAGCATCACAGTCTGCTGATGAGCTGCATGATGCTTGTAAATCCTTGTTATTACTGTTGTTTTGCTTTACTATTTATATGTAACTACATAATTATTTGCATGGTTATGTAATGTATTTATATTCTATTTGCATGCTGTATTGACAGGTTTGATTCTGCATTTATGACTTTTTTACCTTTGCTTCATGTCAGCTATGGGAAAGCAACCATTAAACAAAATGAAGAGATGCATCAATATGTATACACCATGGAGGACCTTGGAAAAAACAAACTAGTGCAGTGTGGTCTGACCCATGGTCCAGTGGTATCGGCATGGTTATGCAGATACGTAAAAACTAGAGGCCTTAAACCTTTACTAGGTTTAGGTGATGTGATGATAATTTTGTTGCAATGTCAAAATCTTTAAGAAGGTAACTGGAGACTTTTTGGGACTTTTAGTTACATTCAATTCCACTTGCACGCTAGA